ACGAAGGGGTGGAAACAAACCAAATAATTAACAAATAGTTTGATTGTTATTAGTCCAGATATTCAGTTATATTCGATTTGATAGTTCATTTAATAGTAACGAGTACATTTAACTAGAGGCACATTCAATTCATTTGATTATTAAATATTTGTTTATGGTTTTCTACTTTTATATTACAACATTGTATTATCTTTTCTGTGTGCATAATATTATAAATATTTCTATTTATAAGTATTTTATTAATAATTTATAAGTCCAAATATTCAGTTATATTCGATTTGATAGTTCATTTAATAGTAACGAGTACATTTAACTAGAGGCACATTCAATTCATTTGATTGTTAAATATTAGTTTATGGTTTTCTACTTTTATATTACAACATCCTTCTTCTTCATGAAGAGGACCGGCGCGCCTCACGGAGAATGACTCCGAAGAATAAAATCCTGAGCTAATAACTCGTCCAACTGGGTCTAAAGCTTCCTCATCTTAGCTGGTGCCATGCGATAGGGTGCGTGGGATATCGGGGCTGTGCCCGACTACAACTCAATACAAATCTCGACCTCTTACACAGGAGGTAACCCAGGTATGTCCCGAAAGACATCCTGATACTCTGAGACAACTCTAGTCTTCAATAAATCAAAACTCTGATCCCGTCGCATCACCTCCTCGATGTACGCCAGAAACGACTCCGCAAAACGGTTGCTTTGAGAGGTTGCTACAATCATCTCGGACCCATCGGACGCTCGCAAATTGACTGTCTTCACAAAGCAGTCAATACTAACATGGTAGGAAGATAACCGATCCATACCAAGGATAACATCAAACCCGGACATATGCAACACTATCAAATCGACAACGAACTTCGACTCGTCTAAACTGATAGTACACCTCCTATAACCGCTCTCCAGAAGTGATACATCACCTAAAGGGGTGGAAACTGATAAAGGGGTGTCTAAAGACTAAGCTAAAAGTTGGAGTCTAGTCATAGAAGCATACGAAATGAAGGAATTCGAAGTTCCCGAATCGAAGAGAAATACGGGCGGGAAAAGAATTCACAAGGAATGTACCCTCCACTACTGCTCCGCTAGCTCCATGGTCACGTAGTACTACCGTATATACTCTGCCTATGGCTGAAGACTGCTCTACTGCTAGTGCTAGAGAATACGGAACTATCTGCCCCTGAGGAACCTCCTGAACTGTACGAATCTATCCCTCAATCTTCTGGTTAATGCAAATTTGGCCCGTTGGCCCCTAAATCCTCGGATTAACAAGTAGTGTCTCTATACCCCCACTGCTGGCCGAAATTGTGACTCTGAGACTATCGACCGTGAACTCTATCATATTAGCTTCCTGCTTGTGTACTGCGACAAATCTTTCGCTCTTTGTTCGATCTTGTTATGATTGTAGCATGTACTCGGAACTCTGCGCTACTTTGGCGCTCTCGAATCATATTGTGCTACTTTCTTATATTGTCATTGTCACTATTCTAGTTTTGATTTCTTTCTTCACTACAGGTACATCTCCCTTCTTTACTTAGACTATCTCTGACTGCTTGTTGAAGTATTGACAAAAATTCTCCCAAATAGGTGATAATTTGCTACCCCGACAAAAATCTTGATGTCGTTGCTATCATCCAGCTATGTCCTCAATGCTGAGTACATCTAACTCCTGCTCTGCAGCTCTATAAACAGCTGATTGTGGTGGTGGTGTCTTCATAAATATTGCCTCTTTACTTTCACGACGGGTACAACCGGTGACGAAACTCCTGAAAGTGGTACTACTGACGGAAACAGATACACCTTTTGCTCCAGAAGTGTTGAAAGATTTTGCTGCTAACGTTGTCATGAAGTCGATCAAATACTATGGTGCCTGCTATGGCTTGGCTCTGCATGCCCAGCTCTCCAGGTATGAGTTTTACCTCGACCATATCCTCGTTTCCATATTTATAATATCAAAAGGAGAGCTTAATTATCACAGTAAATGAGATAGCAAACACACACATATATATATATATATATATATATATAACGTATCACAATACGATTTTCACAACAATTTAGTATTCCTACAAATACTTTAAATTTACACAAAAATAGTTGTTATAAAAAAATGTCCTCAAATTTTGAGATATACACATATATCATCCTCACTCATACTAGGAAATCCTTAGCGGACTCTAACATGAATACTAGGAAACTCTAACCTAGCTCCACGACTCGACCCAGAATGGTCCTAAGGATATTAGAACTAGAGCTCTGATACCAACTGTGACGCCCCTGGGTTCACACAAGACTGCAGTCCAAGGTAAAACTAAGAATGTCAAACCTACCATGCACCACACCGTACAATAATATGTTTCACCATCACAATTACTATCTCTCTAGTAGAGTCAATAACAGGTGTAGGTACAAAAGCAAGTATAAGATACTACAAGAGATAACTGATGAAATGATAGAGATTAAATTAATATTTTATCATTCAACATACAGAAATACAAAGTCAATGTCTGAAGTAAAATAAACTGGAGTTCTCAACAAGTCTCAAATACAACATGTCTGAGTAGAGGAAATAAGGCACACAGCCTTTACAACTTCTAGAATAAAATCCTCAAATGTCTAAACAAAAGTCTACAATGGAGCTCCAAAATAAAATATATCTATAATAGACAGCTGAATCACTAAAGTGCATCGCCATCAACCTGCGACTCTCCGAGCACTTGGCTCGTTACCTAAAATGGAAGGGATAACGAGCGTCAAAACGCTAGCGAGCAACATCACAACCAACCCCGAGTGAGAGGGCTCGTTGTATATAGAAAATACAGTTAATACATATATACATAAATACATTGATCCTAAAAATAAAAGGATTTTAGTATTTAGAAAATTACAACACGAGCATAGGTACGTCGAGCGAAATAATCCAAACAAGAAAACTCTCATGTATATACCTTGTATCTCAAATTGTAAATCTCTAAATGACAATCCCCAAAATCTAATACAAGAACAATAATATAGAGAATACGTATTTAGGAAATTACAACACGAGCATAGGTACGTCGAGCGAAATAATCCAAACAAGGAAACCCTCATGTATATACCTTGTATCTCAAATTGTAAATCCCTAAATACCAATCCCTAAAATCTAATACATGAAACAATAAAATAAAGAATACTAACCCATCTCAGAACTCAAATACCATGTCATGTCACAACCCACATAAGTGTCATGTCCAGCTTATGTAAGTATAAGTATCATACTCAATGTTTAAACATGTGTCCACCACACGGACTAAACTAGAAGTAATGGATGTCCAACACATGGACTGCATATGTAAATTGTCCAACATATGGACTGAAAAATGAATGTCCAACATATGGACTGAAAAATGAACGTCCAACACATAGACTGAATGTGATAATTGTCCAACACATGGACTACACATAATAATTGTCCAACATATGGACTAAATGTAGTATATGAAAAAGATGCATATACACTAATTTCACACGTGTCTCGGTGTGCAAATTTAACTCGTGTCCACAAGTCATGAAAAAGATGCATATACACTAATTTCACACGTGTCTCGGTGTGCAAATTTAACTCGTGTCCACAAGTCATCTCATATGTAAAAATACATGATGAACAATAGTGTCTCGGTGTGCAAATTTAACTCGTGTCCACA